TTTGTAATAAGGCAGATCGCGCTAACATAATATGCACTGTTAGTTGATTATTTACCTGCCGCATTAACGGGAGAGGACGTGCAAACGTTACCGCTGCTGCTCGGTTGAGATTCACGAGTCTGGAGCGGAATTAAAAAACACGACATTCATTTAAGGTTATCACGTGTTTTCTGAGCAAATGCTTTTGCATAATCGTAATGTTTCCTCCCTTAAATGAAATATCTACTTTTCAAGTATTGCAAGTTGCCCTGTTGTCATCCGTTCCCATAAAGTATAACCAAACTTTTTAGTGTTTGAGCCGCCGTGTTTCCTGCCAGGTAAATGACGCTCTGCAACGCGGTGACGTCATTCGGGGTAACTGGAATCGATAAGGGAATCGTTTGCGAAAATGGCAAACGATTCCAAGGAATTGAAACAGTGGGAACCGGTTCTCAACAAGAACCGGTTTTCGATACCCATCCTTAGTTGCTACTCAACTAATGATTTTGATGTACAGTAAATAAAGAAATACAGCATGCTCTGCCGAAGGCTGGATTTCATTTTCCATTTAAATTCACACTCTTCAAAAACACTAACAAAGTTTCTTTTGTCTGTGCAGGAGATCCGGCTCATTGATTATGAGAAGATGGTTGATGCTAATGGTTACCGGATTGTAGCATTTGGCCAGTGGGCTGGTGTCGCAGGTAAGAAAGGCTGCTGGGATTCCTAATCTTGTTAATTATTTCCCCGACTGTGTAGAAAGAGTTGCACTGTAGCAAACTTTGGGATCAGTGAAGATCAGGTCAGATCATGGACAGAAGTGAATCATTCGTAAAAACATGGCCTTTATCATTTGATCAGTCTGACCACTGTTGACACTGTTAACTTGGACTTGCAAGATCAAAATCTGTTATTCAGTATAAACTGTTACAGAATTTTATGTCATTACTGACATAAAAAAATAATGAAAGTAGGACTCATAAGAAATCCCTCTGTCCAGCCATACTCTTCTTTCGTGTGCTCCCTTATTTTTAGACATGGATCCGTGTGCTTGATTCAGCACATTTTTATGCCGGATCCCCTTCCTGATGCAACCCTTCTAGGAATTTATGCCTCCTGGTCTTAAACCAAAGATCTTTTGCATGTTTGGAAAATGTGCTAGACACTACACTATTGACCCCATACATAAATACCCACAATTAGTTGGATCAAGAAGAGCTCCTCCTGGCCCAGTGAAGTCAGAAAACAAAAGGCTTAAAGGGTTTAAGGGTGTTCTTTATGACAAACAGTAAATGGACTGGTTCTTGTAGAGTGCTTTTCTGTTCTCATGAGCACTCAAAGCGCTTTATACAGCTTACCTCATTCATCCAGTACCAAGATGGTGAGCTCAGGTTGCGTGAAAGAAAACGTGTTTATAGCATAAACAGCACCATTAAATCATTCACTGAGAAAAATGCTAGTGGGAATCCTTCATCAAAGGACCTGATCAACAAATTCTAACGTGAATAAGAACAAACTTTGTAGCTGCTCCATCCACCGCTGCAGTAAGCCTCAAGAAGTTTTATTATTGAAACATGCAGATGAACCGTTAACTTGATAGTACTGAGACTATGATTGATACCTGATATCATGTTTAAATTGTACAGCTTAATGAATTCTGACGGCAGCCGTACTTGTAGATACCTGCAGTAAGCAGGCTGTAATTAGGGTTGCCAACTCCCTGAAAAATAAATAAGGGACACCTCGTGGCCAGGGCCGGGCAACCCAGTTGTCTTCACCCTTCCCAGTGTGG